CTATGGGACTGCCTCTTCTAAGCCTTTATAGGTTTCTTCTTATGCTTGAATAGATTCGCGTACGAAATCAATTATCTATGTATATGTGTTTGTCATGTTCGCTAAATTCGTCTTGAAATGCCTTTACTAATAAGTTAATTTCCTTTATTATTAGTATAAGAAATGCCTAATTAATTAAGTTAACTATATATAATATAGCCAAATTTGGTTTAGTATCTTAATTAGTAATAGGCTTCTTTTAAGGTCATCTTTTTAATACATAATCTAGTAAAGAATTAAGGGTCCCTTTTATATAAAGATTAATAGTTTTACTCTTCTAAAGTTTATTAAATATTATAACTAAGGAACAAGTTATATATTTGAGATCTAATATGTAAATATAAAACTGCTTTATTATGTTCTTTTTATATCTTATAAATATTCTTACTTAGCCTTAGTCTATTAGCTTATCTTGTCTCCTTAATGCTAGTAATGACTTTAGATTTATATATAAATAATACTTGCATCCTTAGATCCGGATATAATTAATTAAGGGTTTATCTTAGTCTAGGCTTCCTCAGGGGTGATTCTTTGTCTATCTACCTCTAGGCCAACTGTAGTCTGGTTACAGATGTATGCCTTAGTCTTTGCTGCTTCATCCTATAGTTTAAGTAGTAACTTAGATTCTTTTAATATTACTTAGATGTTGTTTTCTATTATCTAAATTATGTGTTTAGCTATATTGTTCTGACTTAAGATATATAAAATAGTATATTGCGTATTAATTCTTATCTGTTAGAATTACTATTATACTTAGTTAATTCTGACAAGATTAATTAAATTATAAGCTATAATAAGCTAATTTCTAAGTCTCAGGATAAACTATAACGCGATTAACATCTCTGCTCTTAAATCTATAGACTTGTAATTCTATAGCCTTAGAGTATTTAACTTACTTTTATACAAAGTTGTATAGCCACTACTTGCCAACAAGCTCTGCGTGACACGTCTTGCGAAGGAGGTCAGCCATATCTCGTATGTCATTAATCCAGAGTGGGAATCCTCACGAATTTAGGTTAAGGATATATTATATAAGCATTTCTTCTTTAGTCAGGGTCAAAATATGTCACAGGTATACAGATTAGGAACAGCTATTAACATTATTAACAGTCACCTCTTATATGCAGAGTAAGATCACAGTGCATCTGCACACTAAGTGCAGATCCTGCTAGCGCATGGATCATGTGGTATATCCTGTGCCACTACTACATAAAATCCTGGACTATACCTGATTAGGAATAACTTAATCAGGCAATATTTGGCTGTATGTATATAGCTAAATAGTGCAGACTATAATCTACTAATTAGCATGCATTCTTAATAAAATATATAAAATATAGTTTAAAGGTTATGATTTAGAAGAAAAGTACGTAAGATAATTATATATGCAGGATAATTATGAACTACATTATATATATATTTATTATTTTTAATAAAGTCTTAAGCTTCTTTATATATATAAATTACTTCTTAAGTTATCTTTAATATTATTATTTCTTTTCTTTTATAAAAAGAAAAAGAGATTTATTTTTAGAAGATAAATTTTTAGTCTTTATAATTTATAAGAAGGACCAGAAAAGAGTACCCTCTTTTTTAACTCCTCTTTCTTCTCTTCTTTTAGGAAACTCTTTTCTCTTTTTTTTTTCTTTCTTTTTTCTTAAAATAAAATTACTAAATTTATTTACTAAGTCAAACATGCCTTCTTTAATTTTTTTAGAGTTAAACTTATTCTTCCTAGATTTTGTAGCTTATTAAGACTCTTACACTATTAAGTATAACCAGATTATAACTACACACGAAATTAAAGATACAGAACGACATACTCATCGCAAAGGAGAGGATGAAAAGTATAGTACTATTCTCATTAATAGAAGACATGAGGACGAGTCAGTGAAGATGAAAACGTGAAGCTGAGGACAATCTACTAAGGGATATTGAAAAAATGATTGAAGATAAAGAACTTGCAAGTGACCACAAAATTTTGCGTGGCACACACTAACGAATGAGGTCAGATGCCGGCTTGTCTCTGGGCAGCCAGATTCGACAGCCAGATTCGATTTCTGCAGATTCGGCATCTCGGCGTCTCGGCACGCCGAGCGGCCTAAATGTGACCGCACCATAGTAATTTGTATGTAGTGTTCCTGAAGATTTTTCTACCACTGCCATTTGTGTGATTTGATGCCGCTGTTGCTTCCCAAATAGGTACTGATATAGAGATCTTGTTGTTGAATTTCTGCAATGGCCCGGCCCTGGCAAGCAAAGCCTGGGTGCCCTGACCACCTGCGCGACGTTATTGAGCGCTTCGTCAATGGTAGAGACCCTGCCTGGCGCCTCCCCCCCGCTCCTAAAGGTGAGGTATTCGACTCTTTTGAACAGTGCCAGGAGCGTCTGAATGTATTCGCTATGGCAGAGGGCTTTGCTATAACGATTCGAGGCCGTGGAGACCCTAGAAATCCTTGCAAACGCTTTCAGTGCATTCATTATAATGAGGAGACTCGAAATCACAGAGAACTGGAGCATCGAGCGCAGAAGGATCCTGCGGGCAAGATAATTAGTAATCGACAGCGAGATGCTACGCACACCAAACAGAAAGGGTGTAGCTGGTACGTATTCTGTTTCTTTAAGGATATAGGCAAGCGCGGCTCTGGTATCAAGGGATTCTGCCTTGTTGCTCCAGAGCTATCTCATTCTTATCGTCTTATAGAGAATCCTCTAATGTACACAGAGAATCAGAATCTGCTCCCTAAATATCGTCAACTTGTCGCTCTTGCTCATAAGCATCGTGAGAACGTTATACCCTACTCTTAGAGCCGTCGAATCCTTGATAATAAGAATCTTGGTGTCTTTTTGAGCGCCAAAAAGTACTATAACCTTATTCGAAATCAACCTGCGGATAAAGGAGATTCTGAGTTGATTCAAGGCCTTCTTAAAGCCCTTAACGACGCTGAATTCATTCATCATCAGCGTATTAGTACTGAATACAACGTTAAGGGCAAACTGACAGCTCAACGACTTACTCAAATCTGGTTTGCTTATCCGAAACAGCTTGCCGCAGCTCAGAGATTCGTCGTCGATCAAGTTCTTGTTATTGACGATACCTTTAATACGAATAAGCTTCGTCTGTCTCTACTTGCTGCTGTTAGTATAACGAATTCAGGGTCAACCTTCCCTATAGCGTTTAGTTATTGCCCCTTAGAGAGTAAAGAGTCACTCAAATTCTTCTTTGACTGCCTTACCCGCGAATGCTTCAAATCCGAAGAGAATATCCTACCCTGTCGAGTCGTTATAGGCGACCAAGCTACTGGCCTTATTGCTGCTCTTCCTGAGGCGCTACCTAGAGCTATACTACAAAGCTGCGACTAGCACGCTATTAAGGCGATGAAGAGAAGATTCAGAACGTCAGGATACAAGAAGGATTAAGTGGATATGTTAAGCGATCTCTATTAGATCTATATCAAGAGCGCAACTGCGCAGAAGCTTAAGGACAACCGTGAGAAGCTTATAGATAAGTGTCAGAGGGCTACCCAGAGGACAGGCGGGCAGTAGAGGGACTTCGATAAGATAGATAGATTCTAATTGGAATAGCTAAGCATAGGGTTCGCATGCGTATCGCATGCGAAGAGCAGAGTGTAAGCAAGTGTGCAGTGGCAGCCTTCTGTTCAACACGAGATAGAACGCTGACCCTCTCAGCTTCCTCAAGGGCCAGCTTATCTACAAGCTGAGAGTCTCTCTCAGCTCCGATCTCGGAGATACCAAGATCGGTAGTTACGGCTGAGGTCACATCCTAACAATTGCTTCCCCCCTTAGGGGGCTCGACCTCGAGCCCATAGGCCGCCTCTGTACCCTGCTTGAGGTATGCACGCGTCTTGCGTGCGTACAGAGTGCTTCCGCAGCTTGCGGACAGTCACGTAAGTCATTGCCTGAGAGAGAGGAGTATCTCTTCTCTGGTCTTTTGATGCCCTCTGGGCGTCGGATTTGGCATCTTGCTATTTAGAATAGCCTTCTGCATTGTTCCATGCGCGTAGAATAGCGTGAGTGTTGCACTCTATTGTGCATATTCATTGTCACTTCCACTGTGGGGATAACCTTATTCACTGATTTCCGGATTAGGCAAGTCACCATTGATGGCAATGGTATTCCAATGAATAGGTGGCTGTGTGCGGCTGCGTTTGTCGTGCGTTTCGTATGCGAACAGCATGAATGGGGTTGGTGTCAATATGCTATTGGTGACAATCGGAGTGAATGGTGACATTGGAAACGGTGTTTTTGTTGTTCAGGGCGCTGCTGTCAATGGTGAATAGACAATAGCAGTAGCTGTCAATGAGATCTCTGCAGCCCTGAAAGTATATCAACCCTCTCCTTGCTGTAGTTGAGAGTTTTCCTTTTTCTTTCTCAAACACCACCACCGCCACCACTACCACCCAGCAGCAGCAACAGCCACAGCAACAACAGCAGCCTCCACCACCACAGCAGCAGCAGCAAACATCATGCGTAAGTAGATGCGTACTCCGTGCGTGTAGTATGTGGCTGACATGTGTATACCCTTCAGCTGCCAAGCGTAAGCCATGTAAGTGTGAATCAACTGCGTTACTTATGCGTTGCGTATGCTAATCGCGTGCGTTGTAGCACCGACTCCTCTGGAAAGCAACTCCGCCGATCTCATTCGGCCATGGTGCCAGCGTTGCGTTCGCCGGCTCGAGCGTGAGCCCGAGGTTGTTTTTTGTTGCACCATGAATGCTGGCAGTAAGAAGTGCACTTATTGTCAAAGCAAGAAGCACGACTGTGTTCCGGTGAGTTTTCATGTGCTTCCTGGATGCGTATGCTATGCGTTTTTTATGCGTAACGCCTGCATTTTTTGCTACACGGCGTAACCTATGCTAATAGCATGCGTAGTCCCCGGTTGCGCTGGCGCGACCGATTGAGAATCTCCGCAATCTCGCTCGCCCCGCGCAAAGACGGTTTCAAATCGTCTTAAAAATGCCTCGACTCTTGCAGCGTCCTCGCTGCCCAACCTCCATGCCTCCTCCGCCAAGCGTGCGCGGCCTCTTGCCCCGGGCTCCGGCCCTGATCTTTCTGGAATTGAAGTCATCGTCATTGCTGTAGGATAGTATACGCTTCGAGCTATATGAGTTTATGGTGAGGAAATCAGTTATAGTTTGGCCAGCTGCAGTTATGTTCTCTTTGCTTCTTTGCTTCATATTCTCGACCGCTTCTTTCTTGAGTAAGGTCTGTTTTTTGGTAATCTCTGCGAAGTCTTCCCTCAAAGCCTCTTGCAATAACACCTCTTTGACTTCTAAATCATCAACAACGGAATTCAGCTTATTCTTGATTGTCTTAATGCAGTTCATGCTTTTCGAATCTTGTAGCATTGCCGTAAACTCTTCCGCAAAGTGTAGAAAGTCTAGTATAAGTCTGGCACTTGTTGGACGCCTGTGTACAGCCAAATGCCGGATGTTGACGACAGCCCATAAAGTCGTGCTCCAATCCTTTCCAATGACTTGGTTTATGGCTTGATGAGGAATCTCGTTCCAGTGGTCTGAAACGACACGCACCCAGACATGCAGCTCGATCGATCCTGGCTCCGTCCACCGTCGGGCCTCCATAAGCTGGGGGAGCCATCTTTTGCCAAAATCCTGACAGCAATCCTCAAGAGTGGATTGCAAAATAGTCAGAATCAGATGTTGAGTGTTGAATGGTAGGAAGATAGGATAGTCTTCGGAGGTGGAGGAGCTGTAATGTGTCAGTGCACTTACAATGGGCCCGAAGTAAATGCAGGAGACATACTCTTGATTGCCTGGTCTGTCGCAGGGATTTTCTTCGGAGTGTCTGTCTTTCGAGTCGACTTGGTTGGATTGCACCTGCTCTGACTTTCCCCGTGTATTCGCCTGATTTCGTATGGCTCGCGGTTTTTTCTTCTTTACCTTCTTCTCATTTCTTTTCGGCATTTTCTGGACATAAGGATCTGGCTCAAGGGCAACGCATTTATGCAAAGTCAAGTACGCGTAACAGTCCGCCGAGCTGGCTGCAGAACTATTTAACTAGTCTCAAAGCGTCCATTTATCTCCAACTTATTTTTCAATCAATGCTATCCTCGTGCACCTCGCCCTTCACGTGACTGGCGGTGTCCATCAGCTTCTCCCAGCTTTCTCCCCATGTAAAGATATCGATAAGTGTCATAAGACATTATTAACTTGATAGGACAAACATTCTCCCACTCTTACGAAACTCAGGTGAATGCTAAGCTGGAAGCGCTGCGCAAAATTGATCGGATAAGTAGCGATTGTATCACTACAATTCAGCCCACCACAACTTGCGCTGTTACGGTTTGAAGTGGGGGAATTCAAAGTAGTAAGCCTAATAACGCCGTTGATACTAAAGTCTTAAAGTGGAAAACACTGGCTGTAACGTCCCCCCCTGCGTGACGGAAAGTACTATCAAGTTGAAAATAGTGTGTCATTATTCTTTAGATATTTCTCCCCTGGAAAATTAGTATGCAGTCAAAAAAATACAACGCTCTTGGTTATGCTGTCGGTCGTCCCTTTCAAAGCATCCGAAACTGCATTAGCTTTACACCCCTGATGCACCTCGACAATCTCAATAGTTCCATAACGAAAAAAGGTAGCCCTAAACTTTGAAGACGCTTGGCCCATGAAAGTATAGACTCCAGATTATTCCTTCTAACTTAGTGACTCAAGCCATACCGCACGCCACGTCACGATTAAACCCGCTCGAGAGGTCCAGCCAGAAAAGAACGCCCCAAGTTTGCCTCTATCGTACATATAGGTCCCGCATGTTTCAGCTTTAAACTCTAGAGCTGCGATGGAAACCGGCATCGAGGATATAGAGGGCTTAGTCTGCGATCTGAACATTGCTGACGACGCACCTCAAGATTGTGGACAGGAACCCCTCCGCTCAACATGCAGCCATCCAGTCTCCCTTCAGAACGCCATCCACATGCTTATTCAATCTACCAAAACTATTACCTCACAAGCCCAATCTGTCAAATCACTAGCTGATGATGCGAATTCCTCCGGTAACCTGCCTATCACGGAGGTATGCTCGCTCCGTGAGGGAATCAAAAAGCTTAGAAACATCACTTTCAATCTTCAAACCACTATCGATGCGCTTAATGAAGCGACGGAACGCTCTGTTATCATACGTCTCAGGTCGCTTGGAAGCCAGAGCGCAACCATTGTTTACAAAATCTTATCACATTTCGACAAACAGATTAAAGACATTGTCCGGCAAGTTCTCAATAATACCAGCGATCGGGAGGTGTTGTGGAAGGTGGCTGAGGAGTGCTATAACCAAGTCACTAGCCCTTCTGGAAACCTCAACGCCGATGACTACTTTGTTCCACTCGAAGAAGCCTGTCCGGAATGGCCATATGACCCCGATTTTGAGAGCGAAGAATACTACGAGCATGAGAATCGCCTTGACGTGGACGAAGATTACGCTGCAGCTTTTCAAGAACAAACGGAGCACAGATCCGAGGCCCGCAGGAGGGACAGGCAGAGTTGGCCTGAATTTTGGATCAGGGTGTTGAACAATTCACCTGCTGGGCCAACACTGTTCTACCCACCAGCAAGCTTTGATACCCAATCTTTGAACTTCGATGCTGTCCCACAGTACTTGTTTCGGACATTCGATGAGGCCAGCTCAGGGAGAAATGACGAGAGCGTAATAGCATCTCTAGCGAGCATTACTGGTTCACATGAAAGCAGCCGAACCGATATCCTGACATTGGAAAGGCATAAAGCAGCAGGGTTGCTACATATGCATCTGAACAAATCGTGCTTTACCGGAGAGGCGTCTGATAACCTTATGTCCTGGACAAGCTCCCTACTCTTCGCTATACAGTACGCGTTTTGGAGGCTCAGGTTCGGCCCATGCCGCCGGTCTGACATCAAGATTTGCGCGGTTGACACTAAGAACTTTCCACAAGGACAATTCGCCCAAGATATCTGGTTACTCAAAGCGTATCATGCAACTGCCAGACGGTTGGGCGATCCAATGCGACGTTTTTTTGACTTTCGTCTCGAGAATGAAGATTTTTATAATGGCGAATACCTTTCTCAAGGAGCAGTGAACCATACAGATCGATCCTGTGTAGTCTCTCTGGAGCACTTAATACAGGCCGGACTCTTTGAACTATATCCCGAGTTTAGGGACGCCAGTGGTAGTGAGAAATGGACTAGACGAGTATTGGAACTGCGTCAGAACTGGTCAGCGGAGCAAGGAACGACTGATCGGGAGATTCAGCTTGCGCTCGGAGTGGGGAGCAGCTGCTTCACTCGATTCGAGCCATCCGATATAGCTTCAATCCTCCTGACTTTCAAAAATCGCAAATGCCCAAGGCTAAACCCTACAAGTGAGTGGCCACTTTCGTACTTTTCATCTGACATCGATTCTACCAGCAGCGCCTAACCTACCCAAAACAATCTAGACCAGTTCAACAAACAGCGGCCAAAATGGGCAGACAAGCCAGACGAAGTCCGTCGATACTGGATTGCTACTGAAGCAGTCAACTCCTACAACAGACTTCCCCACGCATGGATCAATTACAAGACGCTACGAGAGATCTTTGATTGAAGTTTCTATCGCTCAAGCTCCTCAGTTAATATGAGCGATTCCAGAGAGCATTGGGCTCTGCAAGGCAAGCATTGTATAGTGTCCCGCAGTAAATTAAGTGAGGATGGAAGTAACAAAGATACGGATTGCGCCCTTTGATGGTGTTGTCCAATTGTTCAGTGATAGGGATCTTGAGGCACCGGCAGCCGAATAAAGGTTTAAGTGACGGTAGCGTATCGTTCTTCCTTGTCCACCAGAAAACGAAATGTCGTTCTACCCAATCATTTTGCTGAAGACCTTTCTGCTGCTCGACGAGGCTGAGCGACGCTTCCAAAGGGTCGTTGAACCTTTAGGGACCCAGTCGTCAACAGTACCACTTTCTGGAGTTAGCACACAATTGCCAAGAGTCGCACGAATTTACTTCGTCAGTTGGGACATTCTATAAATACAAAGGGCCTAGAAAAGGGAACTCTCTTCAGGGTCCGGAAATAGGCTCTTCACGACGGCTGTAAAAAGCGCCCACCAATGAGATGTCGAGTGAGGACCGATGTCTGCGCTGACGACCCAAACGTTGGTTACTACTTCCCACCTAATTGGCTATCAGGAAACCGGTCAAGAAGTATTTGAAACTATTCCTCTTCTAATAATAACTAGTGCTAAATCGTCGTTCTTTCACCATCTGTTTTCTATCCAAACGAGCCATAATCAACAATATTCGACCCGTACAACTCCGAAGAGAGGTGATATCGAACGTAATGCTAACATGAGTCCAATCATAATTTTGTAGTAATTCAGCTGTACCAATCCGGATTGGGTTTGTTAACGTGTAGTGAATTTTGTGTGAATGATCAGTTCATCACAAGATTCTATTTGCACCCTATACCGCACGCCTTAACCACTCGGCCACAGTGACGTTGTTGCCTGAGGGAGGATATTCAATAATATTTTCAATATTCTACAGAGTCGTCTGCAACACCAGTCACTTCGAATCATGTCCCTCGGAAGTGAGTGGTACATTGCGATTTGGATGGTTTAGAAATCAAAATGGAGGCAATTATGCCAAGTCTTCATGTCCCGATACGTCGCCGTCGGCCTCGACTCACCTTCCCAGATCGAAGAGCCAGCACCGATCGTAATTTGGGATCATCGCGTTCTTTATCTGGATGGTGTACTCGAACGTGCCTGAAAAGCGACACGTTAGAAACAACTCTTAATTGGTGAATAAGGCATAGTAGGAAGCCGAACCTTTGAAGATTGTCCGGCCGGGGATACTTATGTTGCTGATCCGCACAGAAAGGACACACATAGCCAGGCGAGTCGTGAACTAGGCTATGTCTGATCTTCTCGTTTTTTCTTTTAAAGCCTTTTCCACAGATGCTCCGTGGGCATGACTTGACGGGACAGTAGTGCGGTCGACTTGAAGAATGTACATTTGCGTGTGAATTTAGCAGATACTGTGTCTGAAACAGGGGAGCAGTGCAACCTCAATAAGTACATTTGAAGGCTGTTGTTGCGATAGCTCTATTGGTGAAATTTAGCGACTGAGAAGTGGTACTGCTTTCAGGGCTTGCGTTCTCTTTCGATGTAGGGTATGACGACGTGGGGATTGGATCAGGCACGGATGCTGGTGGTGATATTGTACCAAACGAAACCTCCTTGGGATTATCTCGCCAAAAGCTCGGATGACTTGGATAGGGGGTGTCTGCAATCGGTGTGCCTATAATTTGGCCGAGAGTGGTTTGGAGAGAAGGGAGGCTTTGAATGCCATTGGGTGATTGGCTTGACATCGATTGAGGTGGTGATTTTTGTATGGCTGGTAGGGTGCTATCTGGATCTGTCTCTGCCGCAAATATGGCAAACCTGGCCAGCGCAGGAGATTTAGTGATGGATTCATCCTCAATTTCACTCCTGCCTTCTGGGAATGTCGGCACGAACTTCAATGGTGAATGGGGATATAACGATTTCAAGGAAGCTTCTGGGTTGTGAAGCGCATTCAAGCTTGTATGCGATGCTGCGCCATTATCCAAGCTATGCTTCTTTATAGTCCCATTCATTGCTCCATGCATGGCTATGCTGGCCGAGACAATATAAACATCATGGAGGACGGCCTGTGCTTTGCTCGTAAGCGCAGTAGCCTGTGAATCATCGCGATAGTTGTCCTTGGTACCGCCATCGTCGTCTTCACCATCACCATCTCCACTTATATCCCTCTCTGTTTCGTCCTCAACCTCCGACTGAGAGGCAGAATTCAATGCGTGTTGAGCTACTTCTCGCGCTATATCTGGACGATTTGGGTCTAGATAGTGGATCAGTACCGCGTCACCCTGAGACGGACGAGTCCGACCCTTTCTTCTCCTTTTCCTCTTCAGTTTCTTCTTGACTGGAACGTGAGCAGATTCAGTATAGCCCTCTTGGTTGTTCGTTCTCGTGTCTGGCTCTGGCGACGACGATCCTGACGATGACACATATACCGGGAAGTAGGGCGGCGGACTATTTTCAGGTTCGTAATTGATCTGCGTTGGCACCAGGCCGGGAGACGAGGGCTTCACGTCTTCGTCGGGGTCGTAATAGTCCTCTTGGAATTTCATGAAGCCGGTAGCCTCCTCACTGACCTGCAAGATGGCGCAGAGCCGAGAATATGAATGGTGTGGGTGTGGAACGCAGGGCTAGAGAGAGAGCATAAAAGAGGGAGATCAGCACACCGTGAAGAAAGCGCTTTGAAGCTCGGACACAGGCTGGGTGCAATTGAGGATAGTAGCAAACTCGCTTGGTGAGGGAAACGCGTAAGAAGATCGAGTGGGTAGTGGTAGCTTGTAGGGAAGATGTTCTCCTGTCACTCCCGTGTTGGTCAGAGACGATTCCTGGTAATGCCGCTGTGGTACCGCCGCACTAGAACAACTAGTAAACAACTTCCAATAATTATAGAGCCGTCTATCTCTGGATAGTGTGACCAGGGGAGGATGGTTCGGTTGGATTAGTAGGCAATGATGAAGGAAGGCATCAGACTGGGACATGTCGACCAGGCTCGGAAGAGAGAGGGAATAAGGAAGACTGGGCATTGATCCAGCCTACCATCATCCTTCTTTGTGCCGCCGACAGCCTTGACTGGCCGGAAGAGATGATAGATAGTTTGAGGGAAAGTTATGTGGCGGATGAGGCTTGGATCTTGCGGCTCCGATTGCCAGTTGAATCATGGTCAATGCATGGAGAGCTTGAAATGACCAAGGCAGTTCCCTGGAGTCTCCCCAGGTTAGTCACCAGTCTTGTGTTGGGTGAAAGCGAGGATTCGGCCAGCGAGGATAGGAGTGATCAGTCCCCGTTCTTTATACGACCGCTCTCTCCGAAGAACAACGCTATCTGGGGTATCTATGAGATCGTCCCTCTTAGTTCTTGTTTTCGAGAAAAGAAATGGGACTCAATTCATGCTGTAGGTGAGGGGCTTATAGGTACCTTTTCACAGCCATGTCATCGCGATTCAAGGCTCCTAGTCCACGAGGCAAAGGAAATTTTTCAACGCTACAATCTCTAGAGCATTGAGCTTCTTTACCAATACCGTTTATATGAAGACGAAAATTTTCGACGGAAATTTGGATTAGATACCATGTTGAATTGTCTCGGTATTCATGCAGACAACTAGATACATAGACAAGAGCATTGAGGGTTTTTAAACAAGCTGTAAATGGCGCCTAAAATACATTACCACTAAGATCCAGTTTTTCAGTAAATCAACCTCGTTTTGGGTCAGATCAGTCATTGCGCTCCTTCAATCCGTCTACAACTGTAAAGCTGCTCTCCACATCCTCTATCGTCGATGAACCCTCTGCCTTATCTGCATTTGCCGGGTTTATTTGCTCATGTGATTGAGATGCTTTTGGAGAAGCTGAGATCACCATTTCGGAAAGAAGAGCTTCGATGTGACCAGTAATTCCCGCACTAGCTCCAAACCAAGTAGGTAGCGGAATATCTTTCAGCTGTTCGGCATCAAAGTGAATCCCCAGCTTAGAAAGAAAGTCCATATCCTCCCATTTGACGAAGCGACGAGACCGTTTGGCTTGAGATGCGCTGAAGTCGAAATCAATACCATTCTCCTCAACGGTGAAGATATGGTAAAGAGATTTATATTTCCGACCGTGAGGAGAAATGGATCCTGTTTCATCGATCCAGACGGTGGCTGGATCGTGTTGCAGGTAAGATAAGACAACGCTCAAGAACTGTCGACTAGACCCGGTACGACCACGTTTCCAGTCCGATTCGATTTCCTCCTCCTTGCCGGCAAAACTTCGGATCATTTCAAAAAGATATTCCTTTGTGTCATCTTTGGCCCTCTGTAGGTTGGCGTAAAGGGTTTCCTCTTGATCCGAAATGCGTGACAAAAACAGCTTTTGAAGATCAGACGTCAGCTGATGGATCGTCAAGGGGAAACGAAGATGCTTCGCCCAAAAGATTTTGCTGAGATCGTCATCGCAGATGTAGTATTTGCTTTGTTCTCGGTCAACTTGCACCCTCCGAATCAGCAGTAGCAAAGCGAAGTACAGCAGCAGCTGATCAGGTAACGCTTAATCCGTAGCTTACGTTTCAAGAATCGCGAGAACCTTCCGTCCTCCCACGCCATATCAAGCATTTGGGGAAATACGGAGCAGTTATATTCTATGAATTACATTAAATATCGTTTGAGGTCAGGAAAGTTGGTGCTAAAGACAAAACAAATGGAAAAAGACTATTTTACAAAGCGCACACTGAGAAATCTAGAAATAATCTTCCTGTTCTAGATCTTTCCTTAAGGTACCTATATGAAGCCCAAAACAAATTCTCATCTTATTTCAATCCTTGGGTGCCGAGATTACTTCCTTCTGTGTTGCTATTAGCATTAATGATGATAGTTAAAAGGGGGGATGTCTAGCAATTTGATTCCACTATTACTGACAGTGAGCGGGGCAGCATTTGAAAGTCGGTTGATCGATTCAGTAACTGTTAATAAATACTCTTTAAGCGAAAGGTGTGTTTCTTTAAGTAGTAGCCTAATGCCTGGAAGAAAGCTGCTTTGGAAACTGTCAACCAACTTGATAAAGATTATTAATCATCTGGTGTAACTACTCCTTATGATTTGAAAATCATGCATTAGTATCAGAGGGTTCGCCTGCATAAAATTGCTAGAGTAACTAAGCATCTGATCCTTCAAGGTTTTACTAGTTTATTATAAGTAAGCAAATATTATTAGAGTTATATTATTTAGAGCTAACTCCTTTAGCAGGCGTATATTCTGTACTAAGATTATAGCATAGACTTTAAATGCCTTTAATACGTAATATTTTCTTCTTAGAATCTCTAATAAGTTAATTATGTCTTATAATAATATTAAAGCTAAGGATAATTATTTAATTAGCTTAGGCTATGCCTAAAATGTCTCTAGAGTATTGCTGACAGCTTTATCTGTAGTCTCTAAATCTATAAGCAAATACTCTAATATTAGTAATTCTTATAAAGCAGCCTTTATAAGCTCTTAAATATTTAATAATAATAGGTTTGTATATTATTACTCCTGAACTACTAACTTAATTAAGCTAAAAGAGTAGCATTAATTCTGAGCTTTAATATTATTCAAGGCAGGTAAGGCAAGCAAGGTAAGCATTCTAATAAAGTCCTTTTAAGAAGAGGTTAAGATTAAAGATTATAATAAACTATTAAATAACCTAGATTTGCTTAGAAGAAGTAGAGTAATTACTATTATTACTAGAAGTAACGCTAGAATAAGATTACATCTACAAAGCTAACAGATATAAAGAATTAATATTATAGTAGCGAAGACTATAATAATTATCACAGAGGAAGCTTTATATAAGTAAAAGACTTAGGAATTAATGCTTAGCCTTTTATGTCTTTAGTTAAAGGCTTAAATAATATATATATTAATGCAAAATATAATAATATATTAGATAATAGTAAAGATAAAAAAGAGAACTATTAATATATTAATTAAAGAATAATGTAACTTATTTATAATTTAGAGATAATAATTTTTATTTTAGTAGAGGTTATACTGATTAACAAGTGTAATAAAATAAGAAACTAATTACACAGAGACTAGGATTATTACTATTAAAGGTCTGTAGACAGGCCACATATGCAGAGATCAGGCTATGCCCTATAAATTAAGAACCTTACTATTATCAGTAGAAGCAGCATGAGATAAAATAATCCTACCTCGTAAAAAGTGCAGGAGATTAAGAACAACTTAAACAAGATGTCGAAGCTTAGAGGCTTTTTCAGAGTAAACATTGCTGTTGCACTCGCGAGACCTACCGCTCGAACGAATAATGAATAAGTGGGCCACGTGCTAGAAGCCGAGAGGACTCGGAAAACTGAGGAAGCATATTAAATTGCTAAAATGACAAGGACTGCGGAGAGAAGTTGCTTTGTTTCAGAGCACTCCGCTTGCATGATGGCTGATGATAGAGTAAGGTAGAAAAAGGCAAACAGTGGCAAGGCAACTAATAAATCACAAAGAAGTGCTTTGGAGAAGAATGTTTTCAAAAAATTCAAACCCTGCTTTCAACGCACGCCGTGCTCATCTTGTTAGGATGCCTTATACGCCCATTTCGGGCTTGACCTTCAGAGCATCCTGACTTAGTGGTTATGCAAACATAGACTGAAAAAAGAGGATCCACAATTTATGACATTAATAAGTCTCGCTTGACTCTCTGGCGCACTCTATATCTCTCTCTAGCGAGCTCTGTGCCTTCTTGTAGCGCGCTCTGCGTCCTTCTATAGCGAAATAGGGTGACTGCTTTAAAAGATCGCTTAAACATCTACTATGTAGACTAGAATTGCTCAAATTAGTAGTCTATAATTAAACTTTGCTGCTATACAGAGTCGTACATTAAAAGTCTTCAATATATGTTAACTAGGATAATTAAAAGCTAGCCCTTCTTGTACTAGCTAACTATTAGTCAGACGTAAGAGTATAAGGATGATCAGGGGCGAATAGTTAAAGCTTGGCTAACATAGGCTTATAAGCCACGTCAAATAACTTAAAGAGGGTCCAAGTTATCTCTATTTTAAGAGGGTTATAACAACAGCTCTAGAGCTCTACCTCTAAAGCACATCTTTTACACAGCGCTAAAGCTTAGATTAAGTATGCTAGTAATACTCTAATTTTAGCGTATATTAAAGACTTTTAATACATAACTCTATACATCCCTGCAAAGTTCTGCGTGTGCAGAACTTTACAGGTTAAATAGCTTTGTAGCGCTAAGCGGATTAAGAGACAAAAGATAAGTTGATAGCACTATATTGTGATGATATTCTTTAAGACACACCCCCCTCTTCTCCTCAGCCACGCCTTTTGGTTTCCTTGCGTGGTGACTGCCCTTCTGCCTTACTTCCCGCAATATCTCGCTTAATTAGTAAATTAATCAGCGTCAAATATAATGAAATGCGCCTAGCCTGCCTGCGTGGTATTAGACGTAAGTATAGCTAGAATCTTTAAGTGTTCTTTTAGAATAATACGCTTAAGATAGTTGAAAAAATGCGGAATATAATAATACTCTAAAACCTAATCTGGAACAAGTGTAATAGCCTAGGCATATACATTTTTATTGTTATTTCGGACAGCTTTAATCATAACTATTTCGACCACAGTCAGTCTAAGAAAGTGCCTTTAGTATCATCTAAAGTCCAAATTGTGATAAACCTAAATGTTATATTTCTTCATTGTTTCAAGGATATAGTCTTGCGATCCCCCGCCCAGTGCAAGGAAACGCCTTCAGCATCTTTCCTGGTTCCCCAGACCACTCCACTTAAATTTGTGGTGCCAGAGGCTAAGATGGAATTGTTCTACATAGTAGCTAGCCTTAGCCAGAATTGGAATCCTGGCCAGCAATCTATTGGCATATAGGATTGCTTTAATGAAGCCAGCACTTTTGAGTAGAGACATTAGTCTGGACCACAGTAATACTATCAGACTTACCAACATCCCGTCTTCTACCCTTTGAAGGATATAGTAGTATTATTCGTCCCTGATGCAAGGGCATTCCAACTGGAATTTAGGGCAAGGAGCTGGAACCTTTGCTGTTTCTCTAAGGGTTTCTTCTGCCTGCTTCCTAGAATAGCGATTATATCAGGGTGTTAGGTTAAGATCTAGGACAGCACATCAGATAGAAAGAGATATATGCGTGAGCCTACTCCTTTATCCCAACTTGTATTGCCTAATATGTTCTTATAGCCGCTACAAACAACCAAACCTGCCTTAGATTACTTTTTTGACACTGAGCTTAGTTTTGAACTCTCCGTAGTTATTAAAAAAATTAAAGTTAGAGAGAAATAGTTAGTTAGGTTTACATCTAAAAGCAACATTTAATACTTTACACTTTATATTAGTTGTCTAGTTCCTTAGCCTAATACAACTAACTAATATAAGCTATAATTATAATATCGCTAGCCTCTAGTTTATTTATACTATTACCTTGTCTAACAGCTTCTTTTTGTAGCTTATTAGTTATAATAATCTTAGGTGTTAACTAAGTATAGTAATAATAAATAAGTTTCTCAGAGACTATAAATAGATAAGAATAATTTTCTTAAATCTAGCAACAAGGAATAAGCTTAATATTTATTTGTAAGCATTATATTTGTAAGTTAAGTTATAAGAGATAAAGTATTAGATTAGAAGCCTGAAAAAAGGCTTGTAATAAGCACATGATTTTGTGGTCAAACCTTATTACCTAAAACTACTATAAAGATTTAATAACATAACTTTTGAAAGCTATATTCGTTTAAGATCTGTTAATTTATATAGCAACACGAAATATTCTATTAGCAAACTAAAGAACATCGTTTTCTTTACTTACTTTAAGCTGTTATAATGTCTATAACAGACCCGCTAATCCCACACCTTACGCAACAAGAATTAAGCGAAAAAGATAAGGGTGTTACGGCACAAAATGCCCTATGGCCTAGAGAGGCGTTAGGGCAGGGCATGGCATTGGCCAAGCATTGGCTGCGCACCAAATGCTCCACCAGTGCTATGCCGTATCCGGTCTTAGGGCTAAGGGCTAGGGCAGGCTTGGCGCTCTGCGCGTTATACCTCTATCCTCGCCTCTATAACACTTTTATAAAAGGATCTAGCTCAGGGACGAGAGTGTCTTGACTTGGCATCCCGAGGCAGACACCAATGGAGTCGTGTTCACCCCTCACGAAGTCAGGCAATACATTGCTCAGGCTCGCAGTTATCGGCCAAATGTGCCCAAGTCGGTCTCGGATTACATGGTGGGTGCTTATGTGAGGATGCGACAGCAACAGAAGCGCGATGAGGGTAGCAAGAGACATTTTACCCATACTTCGCCCAGGACTCTGCTTGGAATACTTCGATTATCACAAGCCCTGGCAAGGTTGAGATTCAGTGATCAAGTGGTCACGGAAGATGTTGACGAGGCACTCAGACTTGTAGAAGTCAGCAAAGCCAGTCTTTACAACGATTCAAGGAGCCAAGGCGACCAAAGCAATAGCACCAAGATTTACAACCTCATTCGGGGTATGAGAGACAGTGGTGCTGCTGCTGTTGGTGATGGAAGTCGCGGAGAGCTGAGCATTCGAAAAATCAGCGAAAGAGTGATCGCCAAAGGCTTCACTCAGGATCAGCTAGAGCAAGTAATTGGGGAGTATGAATTGCTCGACGTGAGTAACAGCCAATCAGAGATGGATTCCTTCCCAGTGCGCTTGCTGACATCTTCTCTATTTAGATCTGGCAGAGAGCTGCGAACGGGACGCGGCTCGTGTTCATCGAGGCCGGAGACACTGACGATGAGATGAATATGTAGGCCTTCCACGTGTTTGGCTAAATTCGCATTACTGGCGCCTGGAAGGCGTACTGGTCAGCCCCGCCAGTCGCCAGAATTATCGCAGCAAAAAATCATCATTAGAATACCCAGTATAACAGCATCTACCACCCAAGGCACATGTGGCAATAATGACTCAAGCTGTGATGGTCTCACTCGATGGAGTGAGCAAGTTTGATGAGACGAGGATGAATCGTGTGCTTGCAACGCCATGGCTGCACAAACGTGTAGACTGAGCATGCAGTACTTGCTGATCTCTGATTGGACCATGTTCACATCTCGTGGCAGTCCCGAAATAGCAACTCTCCCCAAACGGGCCTGGCTCCCTCCACACTCTTGGCAAGCCTCCTCCCTCTCAGCCTCCACCTTGTCCCCTTCCAGGCTCCCAACCCTCGTGAGCGTCAAGATGCACACTACCTGCTCTGGAAGAGTCATACGAGCACCATCAAACGGGAATTCTCCATTCCCCGTTTCTACTTCTGTCCCTCGTTTCTTTTTGCCCAGGCTCGGAACACTGCCCGAGACAGGCTTGGCCTGACCAAATGCATGACCCACTCAGATGGAGAGCCGTGGCCCAGATTTGGGACATTGGGCAAGACTGTTCAGGCGTACATGAGGCCTTGTTTCTATTCTACTCCCATTGCCTAATTCCTGCTGCTCCCGGTGACTCTTGTCACCGCTTATAGAAATGCAGAGCAGTCCGTAGACCAGACACTCCAAGTACATAACAGTGGTGCATTTCCCTCTTCTCTCCTGCTCTGTTCTTTACATCCAACCTTAGCTAAAGAACCTCGCAACAGCTCTCGCGCTTCTCCTTACCACTCCGCAGCCTCTAGATCTGATCGATATACAGAAAAATCATATGACAAAGGCTATGAGAAGCAAAAGGGCAAGGAGGAGGCTAAGCATCGTTTTAACGCCTCTGCTAAAGCTAGAGAGGTTCCTTCTAGCACTAATGCACTATATCCCTGCCGAAAGTGCTCAGCTAGAGGCTTAAAGGCTAACCACTAGAACTTCGAATGCCCTCTTAAGGATGAGAAGAAGGCTTTCGCCGCCAAGGAGGAAGACGAATCCTCTGATGACGTGCCGGATAAGGACTATTGTTGACAATAACGCGCCTATATGGCATGGCGAGAGCAACTCGACAAGGACTCTAGCGAAGAGGATACCAGCACTAGTGAGGATGAGGTGGTAGCGAACTTTGGCGTTGCCTGTCGAGAATGCCAGGAGGCATTTCCGTCAAACAACCAGCTACACGGCCATCTCAAAGCTTTCAACGCTCACGCCGTTGAGGAGATCCCCACAGTTATCGATCTTACGGCTAAGCCAAAGGGCAAGCAGCTAGAAGGGATAGCCAATTGCACTGAGACCTGCGTCAAAGCGTATCTCAGCGCCAACAGCGACACTACGCAAGTCATCACTGCCGTTGTAGACTCTGGTTTTGGCCGCTCAGCAGTGAACCGCAAGCTACTTGATAGCGTGCCTCACACCATCAAACCTATCAAACATCTAGTTATTCGTGGCATCAGAGGCAGAAAGAAGGTCTCTGAGCTAGCAAAGTTCGTTCTCTATCTCCGAAGTAACAAGGGAGTCTTCTTGAAACTCGAGATCAAAGCACTTATATTCGACGACCTAGGCACTAGCCTGCTTATTGGTACCGACTATATCAAAGCCTGGAATCTAGTTCTGGACATCCCTTGCCAATTAGCTATATTCTATTAATCTAGCAAGGATAGAAAGCCTATTGCTGTTATTCGCCTCCAAATTACGCGAGAGCTAATGGCCAACTTCGTTATTTGTGCAGGCAAAGACTGTACTATCCCTGCCAACTCTGTAGGCCAGGTTGCTCTCCGAATGAGTCATTCTGGCAAGGCAGACTTTCTATTTACATCCCAACATCCTGAGATACCTAATGGAGTCGTTTCAGCCACTCAGAACGCGGTTATGTTCTCTAATCAGGATTCTGAGCCCCGCCAGATCAAGCGTGGCACTATACTCAGCACAGCAGAGTCGATCCGCAACAGAAATTTTGCGTACGCAGCGCAAGCAACTAAGATACTAAACAGCTTTCTAGATCAAGAACCACAAAACCGCGCAGGCAGTTTGAAGACCTCACCACAGAAGGCGGAGGACACTAGCGTGGGGTGGCTAGAAGAAGCGTATCAGCCTCGCTATCAACATGAACTGCCTGAGGGTATCGTGGTCCCTGATCCCTCTACTTCCACCCATCGAGAGGTACGCGTTAATGACAAGCTGCCTCTGGATCAACAAAAGCAGCTCCGAAAGCTAGCAAAGCGCTTCGCAGTCATCTTCAACGACGGACCCAGCATGGCACGTCAGCCAGAAGAAGAGTGGCTACGTATCAAAGTTGCTTCTGAATTGGAACGAAATCTCAAGCCTCGACCTCCTTATCGTAACGCTCCGCGAGCGAAGCAGGCGATTGACGATACGTTCAACGAGAATATCCAGCTTGGTCGGATGGCGCCAGCGAAGCATTCTCCCTACTCCCTACCAGTTTTCGTGGTCTACAAGTACACCCCAGAAGGAGCTGTCAAAAAGGCAAGACCTGTAGTGGATCTACGACCTCTGAATGACGTTGCAGAGTCAGATGCGTATCCCTTACCTCTTCAAGAGGATATCCTTGCCGCCATGGCCCTGGCTACCTACATCTCTTCTATCGATTTCGTATCCAGCTTCTACCAGCACTTTACGCATCCTGACGACTAATATCGAACCGCAACAGCGTCACATCGAGGTCTAGAGCTATTTCGCGTAGCCCCTATAGGCTTCAAGAACTCTCCTGCCCACAACCAACGCACTTTTGAACGATTACTTGCCGGATTGCTTTGGAAGATTGTTAACGTCTACGTTGATGACGTTAATATCTTCACAAGAGGGCCTTTCAGTCAGCACCTACGCGATTTAGATGCCGTATTTCAACGTTTCGCTGACGCTGGTTATACTTTCAAAGCTACGAAGACCTATCTTGGCTTTCAAGAGCTTGTGGCACTTAGGAAACTCGTTAGCAGACTTGGATATTCAACAGCAGAAGAGAAGCTCGCAGCTATAGCTAAGTGGGATATCCCTAAGAATGGCCATGACCTTGAACGCTTCATTAGCTTCATGGGTTGGCACCGCCAGCAAGTTCCTTATTTCGCACAACGCGCTAAAACGCTGCAACTGCTTAAAACAACCATCTTTCGAGGCCCTAGAAGAGAGAAGGGATCTCCACCAGAGAAGCCGCAGGAGAGAAAAGGCCGCGGAGCGAAGGAATTCAGAGAGCTATAGAAGAGCAAGCATACTGCCGCGTTTCAAGACCTCAAAAGCGCGTTTACTGAGGCCGCAGATATCCTACGCCATTTCGATCCTGCAAAGGTGCTATATGTATTTCTTGACGCATCAAAAGAGCTTGGTTTCGGCGTTGCTGTATACTAACTCGAAGGCGCAGAAGCTGAAGACCTTCTCAAGCCCTTAAAGACGATGCTAAGGCCTATCATCTTTCTCTCAAAGTGCTTAACGCCTGCTGAACGCAACTATTGGCCGACAGATCTGTTAAGTATTTACGAATCTATATTGAGCAGACGAAGACCGTCATTTATATCGACTATTAAGCGAATCCAGTAATCCTAGCAGCGAGATCCCTGCGTACACAATCTCCTCTCAAGATGAATACTCGCTAACAAGGATGGGCCGTATTTCTGAGTCAGTATTAGGATAATCTGACCGTCATCTACAAAGAAGGTCGAGATATGGTTGTTCCAGATGCCCTATCTAGACTCTCAGTCAAGCTCTATAGCCAGCATCAACCTGAGGAGGAGAAACAGGCCTATCTTGGCATAGTACTACTCGGATTAGATGACGCAGAGCTTGCTCAGCTTCGTGAAGAAGTCAAGAAGGAGTTTAGCAAGCTATTCGGCTTCGTGAAGAAGTCAAGAAGGAGTTTAGCGAGCTATTTGAGCAGCTTCAGACCTTGCCCTTATCAGCTCCTAACCTCCAGCAATTGCCTAATAAGCCATACGCCTTACTCCATCAAGAAAGTAGCGCTCTGATTTGGTCTGAATTAACGCACAGCAAGCTGAGCCGCGCTTTGTCATCCCCCGAAGCTTTAGAAAAGCAATGCTTGAGGCCGCACACGATGATCAGCTTCACGGCGGCTATACTAGGCTGCGCGAAGCGCTCGCTGGCGTATGGTGGCCTAAGATAAGCAAGGAGATTCTTGATTACGCACGCCACTGCACAGGCTGCGGAATGAATAAGCCACGCCGCGTAGGCTTTATGCCGTCACTAAAGCCACTTCTAGTGCCTCTGCGACCCTTCTACTCTCTGACAATGGATTTCATCACTGATTTGCCCCCCGAGGATGGCCACGATATGATACTCGTTGTTGTAGATCGATTCTCGAAACGCGTTGCTTTTGAAAAACAGGGAAGAAGGCGCAATCAGCTGAGGATTAGGCCAAATGCCTCTGGGATAACGTTTTCTGTAGAAGAGGTTATGGCTTACCCAACACTATTACTACTGATCGAGACGCTCGATTCACTGCCGCGTTATGGAAGAGAGTATTCGAACTAGCTGGCACTCAACTAATCTATACTACAGCATACTATCCTTCAGCAGATGGCCAATCAGAACGCGTCAACCAAGAGCTAGAAATAGCGCTACGTTTCTACGTTGATGCTATACAGGCTAACTAAAAGGAGTTCTTACACACTATCGAGTTCTACTTTAACAGCAACTACTCTTCTGTCGTTACTCAGACCCTATTTTAAGTCATTTACGGCTTTACTCCTAGCACTCAGCTAACGCTGCTAATGCCAGAAGCGCCAGAGCAGTTAGTGCAAGAGCGTAAAGCTGCTAGAGATATAGCTGCCGAAGGGCTTCAGATTACTGCAGAAGTAATGATGAACAAAGCAATGCAAGATCGATCGTTTGACTCCGGCTAGGCTAGGCTGCGCCTTTCGCCAAAGAGCTACTCACTGCCTTCTACACGCAAGTTTGCACTCTCTCCACGCTACACTAGAGCTTTTCGAATCCTCGAGGCTGTTAGCAAGGGCAACGCGCTGCGAATAAACCTGCCTGCGGCCTGGAAAATGCACCAAGTGATCAGCAAGATCCATCTCGACCCTGCTCCAAACCCTGATGACGATCCCTATCAACGAAACCTCCCCCCTCCGCCAGATCACATTGACGAACAAGGAATGGAACAATGGAAGGTGGAGAAGATAGTTAGTAAGCTCGTTGATGACGAGGCAATATTATACAAAGTCAGATGGGAAGGATATAACGAGGAAGATGATACTTGGGAGGACTCAGCAGCTTTAGAACACGCTCAGGAGGTAGTTGGAGCATACGAAGAGGCCCTAGAGCGCTCTAGGCTACGAGGGCGTCGACAAGCTGGCGGCGCGACTCTCTACAGAGAGCCGCGAGGTCGACCACAACGCTAGGCCCAAAGGGGAAGGAGTGTTGGCACTATTTCTGCGTTGTTTCTGTGCGTTTCTGTGCACACTTGTTTTTCTTCTATGACCACGAGGCCGTGGCCTTTTTTCTGCTGCCGGCAACTGTTACGACACGGATTGCCCTATGGCCCAAAGGGGCATTAGGGCTGAGGGCTAGGGCAGGCTTGGCGCCCTGCGCGTCATATCTCTATCCTCGCCTCCATAGCACTTAGATAGTCATCCATCTTCATACCAATCAGTCATACAGTTGCCTTCGATAGCTTCTTCGTGACTCTCCGCTATCTCTATAGCACCCCCATACCCTGTTGCACGGCTTTCCGCGTAACAAAGGGCACTTTAGCAGGGTTAGTCGTCTAGGTATCTTATATAGTATTTGATCCTACAAGAAATATATGTATAGGTCCAGGTCTAGCAGAGAAATAGGCTTTACTATTAGAGATGAACTTAATTAAGAAGGTTAGAGCATTGTTCTTATCTCTTAACTTATAATTAATAAGCTTTTAGTTTACTTGTCCTATTTTCTAAATTAGACAAGTACTACCTCTTAGTCTGCTGAAACCTTTTAATCTAAAGGGGCCTTTAAACGCAAAAGCGCCATACTATAATATTAATACAACTTATAAAGAGTAGTCTAACTGTATCAAGACAGGATATAGAGCAAGGAAAAAGGGTCCTGCCACTTATTATTAGCTAGACTATATATATTATAGAACAGATGAAAGTTGCGTCAGCAGTAGATATCTTGTTTATTACTTCTGAACCTATGCATAATATACTAGCGGGTTGATTAGTATCCTGTCTAAGCCATTATAAGAATTCTAGAGGTGGGTTTCTATTAGGTTGACAAGTATTCTATTAATGTCTATATAGGAACTCTAGTCTGTTAGTATACCATCAGGGACACTATAGCAAGTCCAGAGGCTGTTTTTAGTCAGGTTAACTAAGGTCCTACCTAGGGCGCTATAAGAAGACCAAAGGTGGCCTAGCACTTTAACTAAGTTGCTACAAGAATTCTATATTATGCTAGGGAAAATAACAAGTGTTAGAGGATTAAGACTAATATTTGTTAAGGTCTGATTTAGATCTTTTATTTATTTAGCTATAATAAGTAATTTAGTAAATTAATCCTTATCTATCCTAAAACCATGTTGCTATAGAAGTAAGGCTATAATTATTTAAAAGTTATACAGAGTTATAACGCTAAATCCTTTAATACGGTATCTATTTTCTACCTATGTAAGCATAGTACTTAAATTTGAAACCAGGTCACTTATAGTAATAAACTAGGTCTGCTGCTTTAGATAAGAAATCTAGTAGTAAAGCAATATATATACTGTTTGCCTATTAATTAAATGTTAATACTAAGTAAAAATAATGTACTAACTTATTAATTATTATTTGTTATACTATTCCTATTTCTAGTTAAGGACATCCTTAACGTGGATTAATAGCTTAAATCGAAGTCTTTAGATATACTAATAAAGTAGTACTACATAGTAAATAATTATTAACTAATAAGTAATTATTATTATCTGTCAAATTATAGTTTATTAAATCCTTGTCTATATCCTCTAAATCAACTATATATTTATCAAAATCTGCATTTATGCCTCTAATAACTCTATTTAAATCTTTGTTTATGTCCTTTAAATTAATTATTTGTTTATTATAATCTGTAACTGTGCTTCTAATAGCTTTATAAATAAACTTTTGCAGAATAAGACTATAGATTTGACTTATAATCTTATAAGATTTCGCTTCTTTAGCTACTTTAGCGACCTTAATACTTTATAAATGTTATATAGTAATATCAAATTTAGTATTGCTAAGTCTTTATTACCTTAAATAGGAATTAGGGTTAGTAAATAAAGCTTTAAGAGACAGCTTACTAGCATAATAATATAAGTAATAACAAAATAATTATTAAGGCCCTAAGCCCTTTATTTTTTGCTATAATTATTTTTATCCTTTTACTAAACCTCAAAAACATTATAGTCTATTTTGATACGTCTTCTAACAAGTTATTAATAAGTGGTGAGTCAAAGATAACTTGTTGAATTTTTTCCTTTACTTCTGGTCTGAGTTGCAAAGATTCATTCTTTTCTAACGAAAGACGCAAATTGTAAAGTGCGACAGCATAGATTCGGGCCTGAATAGGGTCATCAGTCCGTCCGTTCATTATGCGTTGCAGCTCTACGTAGACTTAAGAGACCATGTCTTTTTCCACTACAACTAAGGTATTACGATTAAAGAATTTTCTCAAATGTTTCTATAATTCAAAGTGTGATTAGAGCTTATTAGAGATGCTAATATTAGACTTCTAAAGTTATTATAGTCTAGACAAATAATCCTTTTTTAGGGCTAAGGTAATATAAAGGATACTCTAATATACTTTAGAAAATAATTATTTATATAGGTGTTTCTATTATAATTGTAATGGCTCAAAACTAGAATAAGTTAATAGTCTATAGATTACTAAAATAAAAGCTAGAGAATCTATCTACAATGTGGCCATGCACAGATTCATATACTCTAACGCCAGCGGGTAAGGCCTGTGTGTGCGTGGGCCACGCCATAGGCCACAGAGCATTCATAGTTCCTAATCCGGCCTCCTGCTGTATAGTAAAGTTTAGGCTTCCCTAATCGGGTAAGGCGAACCTCTCTATTTGTAATCCGTCCGGATAGCTCATACGCTTTAACAAGCGCCCTACGGCAGGAGTTTGCTTGCTATTACAAGTCAGTCATAGGCGTTGCCTCCTGAGTATGTGGCTGGCACATGCATTTCCTGTGCTATAGCAGAGGAAATGTATCATCTATTACACTACTCCTCCCCTTTAAAAAAAATTGATTGCCCTTAATCAAGAGTACAAGAAAGCAAGTCCACTTTCATCCTAACGTTACTAAGCTCAGTAATTCCTTATTTAATTAGTCTGATATTTGACTGTATATATACAGCCAAATCTGTCACATAACATCCTAATTAGATTTTCTGTACTCTGCCTCAAATCAACTAATCAGGCACCTCTTTCACTAGGTGCCTTTCGAAATAGTCCTTAAGCAGGTCTTCAGAGCCCTTGAAGTTTGAGATAAGGTAATAGGTCAGGTCCTCTAGCTAGCCTACTCATCTTGCTTATACCTTTTATACTTTGCTTACTCTCTTGACGTCGACTATATCTTTGACCTCTTACGCCTCCTCTTCTTCTGTCTCTACTAGCAGAGGCTGTGGGTACTCCTGCCCTAGCAGAGGGTCGGCAGGGTCCTTAGTCAGTAGTGATGCATAGAACATATTATAAATCCTTATCAATAAGGGCAGTTCTAAATAAAAACTTTGCCTAAGCCTCTTTATAACAAGAAATAGCCTAATCTATTTTGAATTAAGTTTCTTATAAGGTCTTATTATGCTAATGTTTTTTATTGATAGCTAGACCTTATCTCCTTCTTTAAAATTGATTTCTTAGTAATACTTATTTGCTTGCTCTTATTATTATAATTACATAGCCTTTAGATACTTTTATACTTACTTCTAATCCTTTTTTATTAGTCTTACTAGATTCTTAGTCTTTTTTAAAACTATATATTTTCTTATTATCTTTATAGACTTAGACTTATTAAAGCTTATCCTTAGCTAATATCTATATATAATTATAAATAATAATAATTATATAGACTTAGATACTATTATATTCACAGCAAATTTAGTGCTTAAAAAAAGGTTATTTTAATTATCTTATACAAAATCTATATAGGCTCTTAAGTATTATTTTATCTTTGTATTAAAGACTTCTATCTAGCTATCTATCTATAAATAATAACTTTAATTCTTAAGATTTAATACTATTATTTCTATACTTTACTAGCAAACTATAGCTCTTAATTAGATATAATTATTTAAGGAAGTCTATAAAGCTTTTACATATTTCTATATAGTATTTTAGCTGTCTTCTTTAAAGTTATGCCTTCCTTTATAGCTATATAAAAGATATAGTAGCGTTTCTTGCTTAGCTAATTAATAATTATTAGAATAGTATTATAGTCTTCTAATATTAGTAATTCTATAACAAAATCTATTAAGATATCTTATTAGAGGTACTTAGAAATTAGAAGAGGTTATAATAAGCTTATAAAGAGCTAATATATAGGTTTAGTCTTTCTGTAAATATAATAATTCTGTAAGAATCTCCTGACTAATATATATTTATTTAAGATGTAGTACCTATTATTTATAATAGCCTTCCTTATCTTTATATAGTTTAAGTACCTAGTCTTCTTACTCTTATAGATCTCTTAAATTATATTTATTATTATTACTACTAGTACTACTAGTTTTTCTTTATATTATAGCACTCCTTCCTTATCTTTACAATTTTAAATATTATACCTAAATATTTTCTTCTTTAGGTTCTTTATTTATTTCTTTATCCTAATCGCGTTAAACATCTTATTAATCTGATTCTCTTTCTTTATTCTCTTTTAAAGCGGCAAATCTTCCTCTCTTAATAACGCCTATATTACTAAAATCTTTAGATCGTCTTTTACTTCCTTAGACAATATATCTAATTATAGAAGAGTCTGATACAGATTAAGATTCTTCTTTACTCTTAAGATCTTAGTTTTCCTTCAAGTTAATACGTTAGCTTTTTTGTTAGCAGCTTCTAGGCAATATCTAATCTTAAAGTTATATTAAAATAATAATTTTGCTTAGTATACTTACTAACATATTAGCTTCTTTATTAACATAAAATACTTTAGAACCTTATAATTTATAAGTATTTAGATAGAATCCTTTTTTAGTAAGTATAACTCTAGCAACTATTCCTTAAAACAACAAATAATAACTAGTAATTCCTTATTATAAATTATGTAATTACGCTCTGCTAGTGCTATACTTATTAAGAAGAATATTATAAGATAAAGTTCTTTATCCTCCCCTTATTACAAGAGTACTTTATCAACTATATAGTCGCTTATGTTATACTCTATAACTGTCT